GCCTCACTTAGCCCGTTTGGCCACAGCAAATGGTGAAAGGGACTCTGGGGCCCCTTCTCAGCTATATATGAACATTTCTGCCTCTTCTTTGTGAAAAAAAAAAAAGTTCTTCGTATAGTTATAGTATATAATCTATAATGTACTTTTTTTTCAGATTTTTCGGAAAAGTTTTCTTTTCTTCTTGAAAAGCACCCTATTTTGACTCCCAGATATACTTCATCCGGTTTCGTCCGGGTAGTATTATCCGGCCTGCAAACCCGGATAATTTGACGGTGCCGGTCTAAGTATATCCCGGGTGTGGCACCTAAAAGTTCGAGCAGCTTGCCTCAGTGTAATGAGAACCACAGATGTTCCACAAACACAGTCTTGTGCAGCCTGTTTTCACCCCTAACAGACACACAACTGGATTGCCTGTTGTGGGCCAAACATCTCCGATCAGAATTTGCAGGGCACTGGCAAGCAGCTACTGCACGGAGAACAGTTGCAGGCAGTACCGCACAGGAGACTAGAGGGAGGAACGCATACACCAGAGCTGAGCTTGCAGTAGGCTAAGGGCCAGGGATAGGTAGAACCGAAACCAGATCAACGAGGCCAAAGCACAAGGTTGTCGGCAGTTGCTCTACCGCCACCACCAGTAGATGGTGGCCATTTACTGCTCCGCTCACCCAACTCCTGTTTTGGTGAGCACCAATTGCAAACCATTTGCGTCTCAGAAATCTCGATGTGGAAATATGGTTCAGTCCCAGCCTGCAACACACATGTTAGGCTGCACGTTTGGTGGCATGCCGCCAAACGGTGAGTGGCACACTGGTGCGGTTGGTTTTGGAGCGCATGGCAGATACCACTCTGGTCACCAGTTTACTTCCCCTGTTTGCCCCCATCTTGTCATATTCCCACGCCCGCCTCCACAGGACCAGTCCAGAAAAGGTAGATTTGCTCTCGAGGTGCGGCCACCTTACAGCACTCGCCAAAAACGGACCGGTCTGGACGTCAGTTTGCCATGTCCAAGTTCTCAATCAATGGTGCAGCAAAGCCCGGTATAGGTGAGCATTCATGTAATTTCTCTGGCGGCGAGTCGTCACCACGGATTTCTCCTTTTGGTGAGCGGTTCGGCGAGGCCCAGTGTCTCAGCAACGCCGGAAAGAACTACACGCGCTGAGCTTCGGGTAAAACCTGTGGACTGCCCAAAACATGCTGAGTTTTTCCAAAATTTGAAAAAGGGGAAATCCTGTACAAAACAAGAGAGATTAGCCAGCACATCAAAAAGATAGTGGCAGAACGAAGAAGAAACTGCACATCTTAGAAGAGCAACTTTCCCTTGCAGCCAAAAGCAAATTGGCATAGCAGGAGAGAAATGGCTCCGTACGAAAGCCATGCGTTTGGGCAGAGCATCGAGGGCAGCAACTTGCTGACTGTGTATGGATGCTGCCACTCAGAAGCACGCGTAAATGGGCTTCTTAGGGAGAGAAGTGTCTCCACATGAAATTCACAAAATTTTGCAGCAACTTGCTCACTCTATATGGATACTGCTCCTCAGAAGCACAACCCTCCGCTTCTCTCTCTCTCTCTCTCTCTCTCTCTCTCTCTCTCTCTCTCTCTCTCTCTCTC